TCGTTGTAAACTTCAGTCTACATATACATACATGTATAATTATATAATAAAATACTGAAATATTACCATATAAATGTACCTGGTTATTAGTTCGATATTGCGGATCCGAAGACATTTTAAAAAGCCACTCTTATCGTAAGCACGTGTCACTCCAAAGTGTATTTTCAGATGTTTATCTCATCAATATAGCTTATAACAGTTTCAGCTACTATAAGACTAAAAGGAATAACGTAGGTTATTAAGTCCATCCAATCTAGCACGCGATTTTGTTTCAAACACATCTTTAGTGATAAAACTTTGGCACTGCTGAATGACTGAATACAACATTTTAACTTTGACTTGTATCAGGCTAACAACCAGCGTGATGCGAAGTTACCGAGTTTGCACGAATAGCACTATCTCAGGAAGTGTTAAGTTATATATAAAAATATTTGATGCCGACAAACCCTCAGAGGCTGGCGATCTACTCCGACACTAAACATTAAGACTATTACAAACCAATATTACTCCCTTCTGCTGTCGTTATGCTGTCGTGTTATTAAATCGGTCTCACCGTAATTCATTGGACTGTTTCTCCATTCAATCAAAGCTGATTTAATTCACTTTTAATCGCTGTAATTCCCCATTGAATTTGTTACTACTTGTCGTTCGTTTATGAAGCTAAGGGCTTTGCACAGATGCGCCCCATTTCACGTCCTTTAAATCTTAAAGAAAAATATTTCGATATAAAGGCTCAGCAGCTACACTGATGGAGGTTCTGCATTTACCAAATAGAACCGATAGCATGTTGAGCATACTTCCATAGTCAATGGGCCGCGCTTTTTATTGCGAAATACACTCGGTATTGTTCGCTGAAGAAGATGGTCGTTGATCACTGTGCCACTAATTGAAACCGAAAACAAATCAATAGTCCTACGACGGAAATTCTGTATGGTAGAGAAATACACATTTTGGTCAGGCATTGACATACTACTTAACGTAAGTGGATATTCAGCAAAGCTGGCAGAAAGAAGGCGCTTCGCGCCACGAGGACGTCCAAATCGCCTTATAAAGGCCTTATGTTATACAGGATTGGTTGTGTGTTTGACTGTTTGTGAATGAATCAAATGTGCGCATTTTGACAAAATAAGCTTCTCTAACGGACAGATACCCAAACGACAATGACTGCTAATATAGTTGGTAAAATACTCCTGATTGCGTTAGATATACAATTTTTACTATGTCATTCAAAAAAAAAACCTTTTATAGACTTCTTCTAAAACCGTACAGCTTTCATTAGTCTGATGAATATCTTTTAGTCATTTAGTAGGCAAAAGCTATAAAATGATGATGTTTTATCTTTCTGTTGTTCGGAAAGTTTGTTGTAGTACTTTTCTATTGCGTGAATATTTTGGCATATTTCTTTTTAGCCCATTTTTGCTAACCTTGAACTGTGTACGCTTTAACTACATCCAGAATACATCGTTGAACGATATACGAGCTGGCTCCTCAGTCGTCACCGAAAACAACTAATTTATTCAATTCAATTTCTTCAGTAATAAAACAAACGTCTCTATATAGCTTATATATAAACCACATTAATTAGTAAGCTGACATTTTTTTCTAACTTTTTTTCTATGACACTCACAGTTCAATCAAATTTTAAACTTTAGTTAATGGATTTCTCAGTTGGTTTATATTTATTTAGTAAATACAATAAACTCAAAACGACTTTTGCAAAAGACGCCACAGTTAACATTCGAAATTATGTGTCGATATTTTGTTGGAATAACTGAGCAAGCTTTATCAATGAAGCCATTAAACAAATACTCCACGAAGGTCTACGCTGAAGCCCATATCAGCAATCCTTTTTTTGCTTCGATTTTGCACTGATTATTGATGTTGACAGTTTATCTACATTAGTTTTCTTTGTTGCCTTTCCAGTGATGCAGGGTTCCAATCCTTTGCTTAAACTGGCAACTGCGATTTTCGCTAGATATCTAATAGCGGATCACTGAGAATCCCTGATAAAGCCATACACCCGGTTGTCGCGGCGATCCAAAAAGGTCCGGCACCGGCTCTTAAGGCTAACACCAATTCGCGTATAGAGTAAGGAAAGAAGTACGACTTAATTACTTTTAGGAAAAAACGCGCGGATCAGTTGAACCCGTGGAATAAATTCGAAACCATGATGAAGCTTTAAGACGAACAGATCATCGTATTCATATAACCTGAGTACTTAGCGAAGACACCCCCCCCTCCCTCCCTCTAACCTCCGGAAATCAATCACGCACTTGCGGTAAAGATATTCCCACTTGCATCCAGTCTAGTGCAAAGATTCCTCTGCCATATCGAGTTTAGGCTCTTGGGAATCTCCTCGCAACAGGGTAATTTAATATGTGGTTTACTGTTTTCCCGAGTTTTGTTTTTATCTCGACATAGAGAAACAGAAAGTATATAAATTTTTTCGGTCCGTTCGCGTGTTCACCTAGGCTAACATATTGAGCACTGTCGATGCGTACTGCTAAGAACTTGAATACCCAACTCTCACTTGGAGTCATCGGAAGTTAATAAAGCATGCCTCACATCCGGATGAGCATTTTCCAGAAGCTGTTCGCATCTGAAACGCTGGAACAGTCTTGCGATCATCCGACATGGAAAAAAACAAATGATCTCATACCATACGTACTACTAATGTCTCTATAAACAACGTACGCTAATGTGCATTTTTCTAAAAATCGCCTCTTTCGATTGATTCGTAATGTATAGGAACGATGTGTCGTCATGGTATAGCTTGTCTGTTGATGCCTTTTCCTGTTGAGAACAACCAGGGGCTCTGGTGGACTCCACTCCGTGTACATGCTGTGTCGACAGTTTCATAAATAAATAACCAGTCTCCTATAGAAGTGCTTGCTGATTGATTCGGAGCGATTATAGCTTCGCTCTCACGTGACTTTAAACCTGTTATAATGCGTTTAGATAAACCTTTAACTTACATGTCATTATTACTAATGATTACAATATCGACGGGCGAAAACGTTGATGAACTCTCGATATAGAAAACATTTTGTAACAATGCGACTACTATAAGTTTCATAGCCGATCGAGGCGCTTTTCTGTAACTACAATGCATCTTGTTTAGGGGAAGTCTTAACAACTACGATTGGATTTCCACCGCGGCGACGCTTCGAAACCTTACTCCTATAATAAAGTAAAGATCTCGATCTAAGATGGTTGACTAACTCGTTTAAGCACATGTGCCGTGTAGGTAATAGACATACTGAGTAGCATAAAGTTGCTTGGTGTATCAACGAGAACGAGAAAGGCAAAGCTTTTTGAACCCGATGCAGACGAAGTTAAGAAAATAGTTAACTGGAACGGAAATTGAAAAATGTAAGTTGAATATAGTTTAGTAAAAAAAAAAAAAAAAGCTTCATTAATTATAGAGGGAAATACGTTGTCTCATTCATGTTTACACATTTGAAAAAGCTCGTAAGAAATATTCAAAACTTTTTAAATAGTGGAAGAATAATTAATTCAGCTAAAAAGTTTGCGTGTTGAACACTTAGTTGTATCTCTTACGAATCCATTATACGGACCTTTCAAAAAAACCTTTGAACTACATTTTTCGGTCAACTGTAATCATTGCATCTAAACATTTTTTTATTTTCGCAATGAGTAATCTACTGAGTTTATTGATCAAAAAATTTCGAACGGTGTCCTAGTTAATACAATTTCTATATGGAATGAATGCTTAGAAAATTATGTCCTAGTCAAACTTGCTGCTTACACCGCCTAATTTTAAAACTAGGTCAGAGCTAAATATAAAAGACCAATTCTATATGGCAGATTGGTTGTGGGATTTTACCATTGATCGACAGGCAAATATTATGCCGTGGCCGAATACTTTTGATTAAAATTAAATTTTCGAGATAATTCTCTTCTAGTATTATTTACCATCGTTCCTGTGAATCACCGCCTGAGACTTCTAAATGAGTACCTATGCCTTGTTTCATTTACGTCGATAGCTCCTTCTTAATGTTTCGAAGCACAATTCGTCTCGTTCAGACAGATAAACCTTGCACCAAACATGCTCCCGTTCCACATTATCTGATCAGAAGTTATTAAATCGAATTAAAATAAGTTTTCTGTAAAATTATAATAAAGTAAGTGATTTTTGATACCAGTGCCATATATAGAACAAATAGAAGCTTTTATAGTTTATCGTTTTATATGTATTAGCTATAATGTAATTTCAGATAAGGTGAGATGTATACAATTTTCGCAGTCGTTAGCCAATATTAGTTACCATTTACCACCAATATTATCATTTAGTAAGACCCAATATTAGTATTTTTTTAAAATTCTAAAATTAAAAAAATAATTAAAAAATGCAAAAAATAAATACATTTAAAAATTGAAAAAATGATTCATATTCGTCTTACTAATTATACCACAGTTTAAAAGAGACCTCTGAAACCGAAATTATTTGGTTATGATCTAATAGAGGTGTCATATATAGCTGTAATTTACTGAGCTATTATTGTAGGTTAGAGTTATGTTATTATTATGTACGTTATATTATTTGCCACTAAGTTAATATGGCTCCTGATTATAACTTCGATTCATATATGCTCGAAAAGGCCTTTGATCTCATAGCATAGATGAGCTGAACAAGAGGATATTACTTCACGCGTTACAGGCATTAAGATAAAATTTAACCTCACAAATGAATCGATTTGAGTCGTTTAATAAATAAATAAATAAATCGTCGTTTAATAAAAAAGAGTTTAATAAAGGAAACAAAGTAATTATGCTAACACCCCGATAGCACATTTGTCCCAGCGCGTATCTATACGACAACCAAATGCCGTATGATAGTACAGAATCCAACAAAATACTGTCGGCGCTCAATGCATTTAAATATCTATCACAGCTGACAGTGCATTGAAATTTGGAATATCAACCCTTCTCGCAGCAGTGATTCGATCGCGTTCGGACTCGTCTGCTACGTTATATATGAGTTTAAATTTTGGCGCCAAGACTCGACCAGCTGATGGAAATCATCGGCAGACTGAAACACCTAAGCCATTCCTCTAAATTTGTAAGAACTCGTGTGTGTATCAGTTCGTATTGCGAAATTGCCATGATTCGGACCTACCACAAATGTGTTCTCATCGGACCGGAGAAGATTGGGCTTCAGGATGGCGAAGAAGTCACTCTTAAAGGAAAGGCCGGCAGCGAGCAGGGTAAGCGTAGAAAATACATTGCACTGCACAGTGCCTAGCAGTCGCCGAATGTTGGAAAAGGAAACAGAATTAATATAATAAAAATATTGGTTGGCCTATTGTATCATGGTCGTGATTATTCTTAGTTGAAACATAAATCAGTTCACTTCATTGCGTACAAATTCGCTGAACTATACGAGGGGATAGCGTTATTTGGGACACAATCATTTTGCACAAAAAATAAGGCATTGATGAAGTGACGGAATCTACCGCTATTTACATCAAAATATGTAACAGAGCGATTAAGGCATGCAAACAACGTCATACTTAAGTTCTATATAATACATATGTAATGTGATGGCCCGGAAAAGCGCCCTAAACTTATGGAATATAGTTCACAATATATAGTTGGAGCATTATTGCTTAATGTGGTACAGCCGCCGTGGTCCTACTGGCTTATTGAATAAGATCGAAGAATTTCATACCCCTGACACTAGACCTGTCTATTGGCTCAAGTGATCAATAACAGAATCTTTATTATAAGTTTCTGAAGCTTAGCTAAGCATGCAAAAAATGGGGTAAAAAAGAATAACAGAGATAGCCTTCTCCCAGAACTTTTACTCCGCGAAATGACTCAATCGACGAGTGATATATTTTAAGTTGCCCTGACACGGAAACAAAGTAGTTTATATACAATTTAATGTCCTTGCTGCACTGCTAATCGTTATTGAAGCATATAGTTGCTTGCTTTGGGAAGGGTTAAAAATCGTTCAAAATCATTAATTGTAACTGATATGCAAAGGCAAAAGAAGGTTAGACAAACGCTGTGTTAGTTTGCCTAAGGGTGAACGTAAGTGTAAGAGAGTACGAAATATTAAAGTAAGTGATTCACTTCAAAAACGAGCATTTTGAAAAAGCGTGTAGCCATTTAACGTTTTATTTATTGACTCATGTATTTAATCAATTTTTAAGAATTAGACATCTGCTCTTTTTCTCGTCGCTTACTATTGTTATTTGGTAGTGGATCTGTTTTTTTTTCGTATCTATAATAGTAGAGACAGTTCATTCTACTGCCAATCATTTTCAACAATAATAAAAACGTTATTTAAATGGTCATTTTATACACGTGGCATTTCAGTTCGGATAAGTCCCGATTTCTCTACCGGTTATATTAGAGTTCTTCAGTTAGTGGACTCACAGAAGACTGTCATACCTGAGCGGTCTGTGCTTTTGAAGACTAGGTTTGACTCCTGCTTAGTAAAACATCGAGAACGAATTCGACTGGCAAAGGATATCTATTACGAAGTTTCTTTCCCACCGTGTGATAGAGAACTTGAAACTTCATCTTCGATCGGTATGAAAATGGACGGTAGTGTAGTAACATACTTGATTTCGCAATTTGACATAATGGGAATCAGTTAAGGGCTCAGGCTGGTCTATGAAACAACCGAGCCAGTTATGTACCACCATACCACCATGTTTATAAAAGTACGTAAATTTGATGTAAATATAAAATGTATATATACTAAAATGCATAAATATGTAACTTCTACATATACAAGCGAATGCAAAGACGTTTCTTTTACTACAATTTACGAGACAATGTACGCAATCATCTAGAAATTCTACTTGTATGTCATTCTTACATTATTACGTTGTGTATACATTGTATATTGTTACCTTCATGACAAGATGGCACTGCAATGTAAAAACGTTTGCTTATGCCAAAACACTTTTAGGGTTGGAACTACGAAAAGCGAACGTTCGCTTATGTTTGCTTGCATCTATGTCACTACAGTTTGGTCTCCTGTTGAAACGCTGTTTCTCTTCATTTCAGAAGTGAAATGTTTTTACCCCTTATTGAGCCTAAATCAATCATCATAGGCCACTGCGTTTTAATCTAAAATCTGAGTGTAGCGAAATAGTTGTATTAACATGTTCCTAAATTTATGAACTAGTCAAAGCCTGATATTTTAAGACAATTAGCCAGATGACTCTATTCATATTTCTATGTGTCTAATGTATGCGCACATGTAAAGTATGAATCTATGAGGAGCTGTGCAACAACATCGATTGTAACAGTGCAACATAACTGTTATTTCACCAGGTGGCCAAAAGCGCAAAGTAACAAAGGTAGAGCTGACAAAGGCAGAATCGCTAGCGAAAAAACCAAAGGTGGCCACCACTGAACAGAAATCTCTCCTTGCTAAAACAGATAATGGCTCGGAGTCGACCAATTCGGAATCATCGTTAGAGACAACACTAGCTGGTCAGTTCCGCTTAGAAGCTTTGCTATGTTGCTCTCTAACTGAAAAGTGATCACTTACATAATTAAATTGGTTACGACATAGTCTGACTGTAATGTACGATTGTTATATTCGGTTATGTTATACGTCTATATATATATATATATATAAAAAATTATATTATATGTCGGAACCATACTTTTATAGCACTTAACAAAATAATTCGGAGGTTTTTTCCATTTACATTCATCAATATTTTATTTTATATGCGAAGTTGGTGCGTATTCTTTGCAACCTATTTATACATTAAACAAATTGTCCATAATGTAATTTAGTATGTCATTTAACAAATTGACGTTATTTACAAAACAGGCCATGCTAATTTACTATGATCGCAGCATTTTCGCCGGGTATTTTGTAGGCTCGTGGGAGGATATTTCGGACTTAAAAGTTCTCGTCTTCCAACCACTGAAGAGAATTCGCTCTACAAAGTGCGCTTGCTTCGATATGGATGGCACTTTGATTACTACAAAAAGCGGAAAGCAGTTCCCTGAAGATATGCGAGATTGGCGACTTTTATACCCAGAATCTATTTTAACAAAAATAAAAAAACTCAACGATGAAGGGTGAGGTTTACAAAATTATCATTAATTAGAGAATCACATTACTATTATTGCTATCAGTAGATTACCATTACTAGAAAAATACAATTAGCTTCCAGTGACGTTTACGTGATATCTGGTAAAGATATAAGGTATAAGGTGCTCTGGTATCAAAATAAATTAGATGAGTATTATTTAAAATTCTAAAGTCATACGTGTATAATAAGCATAACGTATGGGTAGCCTCACATGTTGAACCCTTACTATTGGGTAGTATTTTAAATTTGATTAAAGTTTTTTTTCTTCTAGCTGTACAAGCTGATTTCTTTTGGCATCGACTCGTATTTCGATAGGTCTGCATAATGCTAAAGGAAGCACTTGAGAAAAATAGTTGTCTTAGGGTGTTACCTGTGTTTGTTTTAGATACCGATTGGTGATCTTTTCGAACCAAGGGGGTCTAGCCACTGGTAAAGAAAGCAAAACCAATCTCCAGCGGAAGTTCATGCAAATCATGAAGAAGATAGACGTGGCTATGACAATGTACCTTACGTATGGTCGCGGCATCTACAGAAAACCTTGTGATGGGCTTTGGTCTCTCCTGGAAAGCGATAACGGTCGGTTACCTTAGAACAGGGCAACATTGACCAGTTCTAGTTATGACTGGCAACAACTTCTAATTGAACGTTATATTACTAATTAGGAAAAAAGGTTACACCATTAGTTTTCAAACACACGGAGAAGCATCCAGTTTCCTTAGACAATAATGTATCCATGAGTTACTACTACAATATTTCATTTGTATGATACATATACAAACTGAAATTTTTCGCCTAGCCCCTACACGCTTCTAAATGGGCTTATTTTTTTTTTTGTAACTAAGGAGAACTAGTATCTGTATTTTTCTTGAATCACTTTTACCTTGATTTGCCGTGAATTTTAGGTCCTTTGGATAAACGTGCGTCCTTCTATGTGGGCGATGCTGCCGGTCGTCCTAAAGACTGGCAGCCCAAGGCCAGGAAAGACCACTCAAAAGTGGATCGCCTTTTTGCACTAAACTACGGTGTACCATTTTTCACCCCGGAAGAATTCTTCCTTAAACATCCGGTAGTAAAGTGAGTAGATGTGGCTTTAGCAAGTTAATACCGCAGACAATAAATATGCTATTATGCGTATGGTATTATTATTATAAATCTATTTAATTCTCTTTCTCCAGTAACTTTTCTTAAAAATATTCATGCCAAAGTAGTTTATGCATTCATTACTTGCGTTTAGCGACTGAAAATCTATAATACAAATGACGCAAGCCATTACCACCAGAATAATGCTGTGTTGTTAGCATTAAATACAAAAAAACGGTATTCTTATTTTTATACTACACAATAAACAGCGTATTTTGTGTTTGCTATATTTGTTTATAGGTTCGACATGCCCGAATTCGACCCCAAATCGCTTTTCAATAATCGCGTGTACGGAACGGTTATCGAACCCGCTTCCGATAAAGGTACAGAATTTGTATCGATCCACAACATGGCCGCCGATCATTCCGAGGTTGTCTTGTTTGTCGGATACCCCGCCTCAGGCAAGAGTACATTAGCCAAGCGCCTGGTTGAAGAGGAAAGTTACGTCCACATTTGCCAAGATATGCTAGGCAGCCTAGATCGCTGCGTCAAGGCTGTTAGGGAAGCCCTAAAAAACAAGCGAAAAGTGATCGTTGACAATACCAATGTGGGAAAGGAACAACGTAAAAGGTGCCTGTATATATATATATATATATATATATATATGTATATACAGTATTTCTTCTTACAGGCTAGATTCATATAATTCATGTTATAACTTTACTACTCTTCAATAAGATAATAATACTGTACGCAAGTTGCAGAGACCTTCTGCTTTGGTAGAGTATCTTAGTTAATAAGTATATAGATACACGTGAATGAATATGTATTATGTGTACTAATCTAGTAAATGAAAGATCGTAACTGAAAGGATTAATCGTTTTATCACTTACGGAAAGCTACCTTCCATATGTATCAATGTAGTAGCTTTATTACTATATAAATGAACATTATAGTATCTTAGAACTTGAGCATACGGCGCTAATTAACAAAGCCTGTAATGTTCCGTAAGGATAGTATGGTTTATTTATGTAGTGCTACTAACTTTTCGGGCAGGTACGTCGATCTGGCTAAGGAAGCAGGTGTACCATGCCGTTGCTTCTGGTTTAACTGCTCCATAAATCAGGTATGAGAATTGTCTTATGAAAACGTACCAATGTGGGCTTTTTTTGCACGTCCTTGTGCAACTCGATAACTTATTATTCGGTCGTTGAACGATAAGTGTCCCTGTTAATAATGTGTTTGCCCTCTAAACCTAAAAAGAGGTGAAATGATCTAAATTTAAACCGTCCATAGCCACACGATTTGCCTTATGTAGAGCAAAGAACCGCGTGCTTAGTTAAGGCGATAATAGAAGCAGACGTAAAATTCGAAACGTTTATTTCATACTCATATTGGTACGTTTGATCTTAACATGTGTCGTCTTCACCATCCCTTTTTTACTTCCCGTCTTTACCTTGAAGGTTCGTCACAACAACAAATTTCGTCTGCTAACGGGAACCGATGCACAGCACAAGGACGTCAACGACATAACATTATTTTCACTTAGAAAAAAGTTCGAAGAGCCGGAGGCAAATGAAGGTTTTAACCAAATCGTTGTAATGAAGATGGTGCCACATTTTAAAGTCCAACACCATCAACAACTATATTTTATGTATCTTCTCGAAGATTAAAGGATCGTAAATTTTTTTGAGTAGCGATAAAAGAAAATTGATGTTTTCAATTTTTCACTATGTGTAGTGCAGCTTTAGAGGCACCTAATGTGTATTTGCTATATATATATATATATATATATATAGTTTGTGTATATGCGTTTCTGTTGCGGTAATTGGAATAATGATTGTATTGGTCTTCGGACTGACATATGTACATATATGATATGTTCAAAAAAGTACCCAGCCCTATGAGAAAAGAATCAAAGTTTCAAAGATAGCCTTTCATACCTCATAATTGATGTTCGTTCCATTTGTATAAACACATCTCCTAGATAGTGATGTTGATTTCGAACTTCGATCGCAACCGCATGCACCAAACAAGACTTCAAGCTAAATATTCTCTTATCATTTGCAATCCTTTTCGTTTTTTCGTTGCTTCTAGTTGCTAACTAAGAATGTATTTTTTGAGTAAGGAATAAAAATGTATGCATAATGTTGCTTTTAAAACTTAGAACTGTGCAACTCCCTGAACACCTTGAATATTGCATATAATGTATCCATTGCTACACCAATACATTGTGTTTACCTATGTCTAAGATTGAGATATCTTTACATCCAAGCCATTCGCCGTGTGGTCATTCAGTAGTAAATAGACTTTGTTATATGTGAGGGGTAGGGAGGGGGGAGTCAAGAGATTTACCAGTAGACAACAATATATGTACAACTATGGCCTTCCATCGTACGTTAATACGCTTATGTAAACTCTAATAAAATTCATTTAGCCAATTAAAATATCGCTAATATTAACATCGCATTAATCCGTTTGTCTTATTAACTAGTGATTTAAAAAATTTATATTATACTTTGTTTATCGTACTATTAGATAAGATTCCTAATATAAGTATTATCGTTTCGGAGCAGTTCTGTATTTTTCATACAAGCATAACAAATGGACTAGACATCTGTGTGTGTGTGTGTTACAATGCATTAGATAGCACACGGAGCTTATCATTTTAAATAATTTCTCATCAAGGATTTGAGGCTAGGGAAAGTAAATCACAAAAACTTGCCAGTACCAATAATTTATTAAGAGTAGATAATAAAATATCACTTCTAAAGTGATGAAACCTGATTTATTTACTTATCAATTGTTGAATCGGAAGTACTCAAAAACTGAATCATGGGATTTAAAGCGGAAGTTTCAATTTTCGTGGCTCAGTCTATTTGTAGTAATTTATGAGGAGACGGTGAAAGCCAGTCATGCTGAAGCAGTGTCCAACGGCTTAAGTACCAGATGTAGAAATAGAAAAGTTCTGTTAAAAAAATAAAGTAAGCTGTGAAAATTTGGACCGAAACTGAAAACGAAGTCTCGGAAAATAAACGGCTTTGGTTTGAATACCAGTAGTACTATTACAACTATGAACTACTATATGGTTTAGCGGTAAATTAAAAAAAAGATATACCAAATTCACCGCATAGATCTTGTTCCCCAGATGACGGAACAAAGTGTCATAACCACCAAAATCTTAATTCTGCGAAGACTTCGTAACATAGGTCGTAAACATTTGTTTTTCGAAGTGTATAAGATGTCCGCAAATAAGGAAAAGTAGCGCTTACGTGGATCTTAAAATCCTGTGCACGGTAGCAAGTTTCCACGGAAGTGTAGTTCTCCGTCATCTAATTTAGCAATCAGTTTTAAGAGATTATATAGATATTGTACAACAACACCCATTCACCTCATCCATACTTCCAAAAAAAAAGGTGAATTTTTTATCTATCTTTCAGAACGTATCGCCTACGATTGATCTTCAAACACTCTGTCCACACTTCACAGTCTCTACATTCGCAGTTGCCTACAAACGCGGACCTTTAATGTAGACCTTTGCACCGCTTTTACGGTTTCTTGTCTATAACGCGAATCTCCATGCGCCGTCAGCGCTATAGCAAAGCATATACGCAATAAACACGACTATTACGTTGGAGCGAATGTTGTACGGCAGAGGTGTAAGACCTATCTGTCTAGCCCAGCTCACTTAAGTTGACAAGCGGTTCAGCCAGCTGCAGTTTCCGTAAGTCAGCGAAGCAGCGGATAATAACGATGACAAAATTGGTCAATTGTTAGATTCCTGTGTATGTGGGTAGGTGGGCAAGCAGGTGGCTGCATAGCAACAATTCAGCCCTATACTATGCCCTCATAGGCGTGCATAGAGCGTCAACTAGGAGATTTTCGCTTGCTAACATTCTTTCACTCCCCCCTCTATGGCCTTCTGGCTTTGCTTCACGAGGACTTTAGCGTTAAATATTTTTGCTACCGATTGTCCTACAAGTCGTGTCGTTGCTTCGTCCATCGCAGCTTGTCTGCGCAAGCCCTGGCTGCTAAAACTTGTATGTATGACCACGTATATATTACCTTCAGTGCCGTGTTTCTAGTGGAATTGGGGCAGCTTATTTCGTTCCTTCCCTATATAAATACCGGCGATATTTAATTATCATTTTCATTCGCTTCTTGGCTGGCTCCGTTAAGTCTAACCACGAAGTAGAGTAATATATTCTGTTCCCGTACGCGTCGCGATCACGGAACCGCCCATGTACCTAGTCGAGTCTGTCGACGTCGCAACGATGGTGAGAAGCACCAACTGATCGACGAACGTACGAACTTAGAACTCCATAGAAGTTATCGTGAAATCCCTAACCAGTCGCCCGTTGTCCTGAACATAGTAGTTCTTCATTAGTATTGCCACTAGGCACCGCTTTCTTCATGGCAAGTGATTATCCAGCCGCCACGGACAGGAAGAAAAAAGCTGGCTTCTTCAGCTGAGGGTGCGGTAGCCATATTACCACCACCAGGGCAAAATACCTGTCGACTGTGACTCAGTCTTTGGCCAGGTGTGTGGGTGATGGAAGCAATGCTCTGAAGCTGTACGGTTTTAGACGAACCGCTCTCCGACATCAGTGATTCACCTATCTTTCTAATCCTCTCAGGCGAACGAAATAAAAACCTACAATCGGAAGACGTCGGGATGCTGGTTGGTAGCCGAGGTATGGTAGCTAGCAAGTGAATTTAGCTGTCCGGATGTGCGCTGGCATTACATGGAGCAATTTTTTATTTTGTAAGGCAGCGTTAGTAATTGCTACTAGAGACTTAAGCACAGCAATGTCTTACCACAGCATTCATAGATGAAGAAAAACTATTGGCTTGGAAATATGCGGTTTGATACAGTTGGCACGATCGCAGGAGCGCTGCAACGAGAGAAAAACGAAAGTATGACGCTTATGACAGTTGTGTGGTGGCTACATATTGTCGTATGGTGACGACGGGCAAAGACGTCACATAAATGCCATCTTTTTCACTTGTCTGTTTCATTTCCCACTCCTTTAACATCGACAGCGATTTCCTTGCCGTGCTCAAAAAAGCCGTTGCCAAATTACATACATCCATAACCAGTGGATCAGAAGATTACTCTGTGAATGAGTTCCTTGAGGAAGGACGAGAATCTGTGCACGGAGTGTCATTGAGGCAGCGCTAGACAAAATGATCGCCGACTGAAAAGCAACAACTAACTTCAATTGTGTGCAAATTTCAATGTTAACCTCATCGAGGACTTCATCACGGCACTTTTGCCCAAGCCGCAAAAGAATCTAGAAACGAGTAAGGATTTCGACTCGAATGGGCCATAGAAAGGCCTTCTCGGAGGTGTTAAGGAGCAAAAAGAAGTGTGCAGTGTTCAGTAGGAGCCGGATGATACTGATCGGAATCTTCCGCGCCATTGGAGTTCTTTCTTTTTGATCGTTTTGCTGGCACTGTCGTCGGTCGCTTGAGTTCGGAACTTCGTTGTTGGAGGTTAAAGCAGGGCCATCGAGAATGAGGAACGCGGTAGTAGCGGCACGATAGAGGCACATAAAGTAGCATCACGAGCGCCACCTACGGCGTCGCTGCGGCTGTCTCTACCGCATTAGGATATGTATTTACCCGCGCTTTCGTCGACATGAACGGAAAAAAGCAGGGTAACGGCAGGGGACAATTCTATCCCCCGGTTTACCCGTACGTGTGAGCTTCGTTCGATGGTGGTGGAGTGCTTCCAACATACATTTTTCAACCTGTCTTCTTCATTGCCAAGCAAAAGCCACTTCAGCCCACGAGTCATAGTTAGAACGTCTGAGAGTCTTGAAGCCGGGAGGGCCAACGATGATTCTCTTTCAAAGGCCGGAAACCTCAACCTCCTTAGCGAACGTATATACCACGCCCACATGGACACGGCTTCAGGTACCTATCTAGAAAGAAGACGTTGCTCTCTGTCGGTTTGATACAGTAATGACACATTCATAAGACATAAGAAATGCAGCGGGTTCTGAAGACTTCGTGGAAAACGAAGGACTCTACGATTTGATTCTGTTATGTAAATTTGTTCTGGCTATCGTTCTTATTGTTTTCAATTTTGTGGTTGTTTAGAACTAGTAGCACGAGAGTGGTTATTGGCAGACGTCATTTTTTGGAGTACGATCGTTAAATGGTGTCCAGTAATCCTTGAAGTTTTGCAATTTGGACCGAGAGAAGCATATACCGTAGTAACTAATAAGAGCAGACGTGTAGGACAATGCTAGACAGAAAATTCTCAGATGGTATATTCTCAAAAACTAAATAGGTTCATGAAGATTTTTCGTTCACGATATAGTAGGTAATTGCCGGCAGACTGATTGCACTGAACGGAGTCCGCCGAAAGATCCGTTGACATTGAAATGATCCATCTTGTGAACCCAAACTGGTTCACGAGGGTAGGTCTGGCTAGCCTGCAGCTGTGCGGAATAAAATATATATTGGATGCTTATGTGAAGTAAACTTGGATAGAGGCTGGCAAGATTTTAATAAAACATGCAGAAAATTAGAAGAAAATTAGAATGGCTGGCAAGATTTTAATAAAACATGCAGAAGATTAGAAGAAAATTAGAATGGTGGAAGCAAACGTTAGCGTGATAATTACATGTGTTTGTTACTGTTTTTATCACAGCGGAAATAGCCGCTATAGAATATTTCTATAGCGGCTATTTCCGAAGCGTCTGAATATTGCTGGTCTCCCGGCCGCCTTAACTTTGTCTAGAATTATAATAGTGGAAACAGAAGTGATGCTTATCGAAGGAGCTCATATGTTTTTAAAGAAAACGAATAATACTTCAGATGCAGCATGTAGCTTTTCATTTGCAAAAAAAGAACACAATGCTAGGTAACTTTTATAGTTGCAAAGTTAGTGATCCCTTATATGCCAAAAAGCGAATTAAATTTCGCTACAAGGGTGTCTGAAACTCAAACAAAAGATTTTATAAACTTTTTACACAAGTTGCTCGAGAAAAGATTAACCCTGGAGTTCTTCTGAAAATCGTACTATAATAAGCTATTGTATCGAGAATTTACAAAGTTGTGTATACAAATATAGGAAATTTGTATATGATATTAACTTCTTTTCCTACAGTTAGTCTAATCTAATCAAATCCGATTCGCTCCTGCATTTATCATGTTATCTAGTGGATACTCTGGCATGAGCCGTACGGCTTCGAAAAACACTAGCGCAAACGATGTATTCCTTAAGTATATAATATTTCTATGATAATTATTATAAATCATCACAGAATTGTCAGTGATGGTTGGGTTAAAAACTAAGTTAGTGATCAGAAAGCGCAAAGCTGTCGGGCGGTTTCCTCCAATGAGATCACTCTACAGTTAGGCAGTAAGTACTGCAACGCAGCATGTCGACTTTTGATATAAAGGATTGCCACCCCTTACATTTTATTGCGGCTCTCTATTTCTTAATAACGCCAGTGAATTTACTTCCCCTACAGCTATAATCACTGCATA